CGTAGAAAACGCTGACACACCTAATTGATCTGCCCCCGTTATTGTTTATTTGAATCTTTTCCTTTAGCATCACGGCGGAACGGGCGAGTCGCCGCACGAATAATATTAAAGGGGAAACTAAGCAATTGATAGTAAAAATGGGCGGTGAAATAGAAAAATATCGTCGGACGCATTCGTGGCCTGGTAAAATATTCAATCGGGGCAATTCGGGTCCGCGTATAAATTCTGCCCCGCCATTATTTGTAGCGCGTCCTCGCGACCGAAAATCGGTACCTACATTGATAGTCGTCATTTTTCTTGTAGGTATCGTTAATATTTTACGGGTGCGTGTCAACGGTTTATGGGGCCACTCTTAACACTAAAACGTTTTAGGCGAACTCTCATTGTTTATACATTTTACTATCCACTTTTTTATAGTTTATTGCCACTCGAGGCTGCCCGGGTTGCTGTTGTGTGACGTTCGATTATGCGCTATCGAACTTGATTTTTATTACGCCCTAATACACTCTGAAACTTTTCCGAATCGTCTTTTATGGGTTCGGCTAACTTATTCGGCATATGTGTGTATATGTGTAGGCAGGCAATAAGCTTTGCTTAGTTTTTCGTATTGGAATCCTATTAATATGATACCGATATAGAGTCGCTCTACATTTTTGGTAATTCGGTGCTTAGGTACTTCATAAATCGTTTTTGGTAGAGTTCCCATGTCGATTGATAAATAATTTCCTCCGAGTAAGTATACGATGGTTTAAATTTTTGTCACTAGCTTTGCCCTTAGTTCTGCTCGTGTAGAGTTTCGTTTGTCACTAAAAGACTATATCTATACCCCAGTTTTCCCAGAATAGAATTCAGGCTTGTGTTCTATTCTAGATTACCGTACGTTATTCTATTTTGGAAATTGTTTGGTGCTTTATTGATTAACTTCAAATTCTATTCATGAAAGGCATGAAGGGAGGTAACTTAAACGGTTTTGTTTTATTATAACTGAACGACACAATTAAATGAACACAAGAGTGGTTTTCCCAAAAACAAAACAAATAAGAACATAAATCTAAACCAATCTAAAACACAAAGCCTTCGTCGGTTACTATCTAAGTGTAATTATCCAGCCGAGTTTGCGAGCTCAGAGAAAGAATTGCCGCCGCCCGAGTGGGGGAGGGTGGGGGTAGGCTCACATGGGACGCCTCTAATGAGGTGCCTGAAAGCGACAATGTCTGAGCAAAGCAAATGTGTAGCTATCTACATACGGGGAGGGGCGCTTCCTGCGGCCCGGCGCAGCCGCCTTATTTATGTACACAAATAACGCTAAGAATGTTTTGATTCTACCTATTATCATATTTTACGCCCAAGTGCCCATAAAGGTACAGTACTCGTACAATACTACTTTATGCATGTCTTAGGAAATTACGCCTCTCATTATTACACCCGATTATTACCATATTACACCCGATCCGACGCTGAAATGCAACAAACGTTCAATATTCGCTAAAAGTACAGCCGTATACAAAATAACGTGAAGTATAAGCAGGACTGTTATAGGATAAGTTTATTGCAACATAAGTATAGCTTGATTGGCTAGAGGCCAACTCTACTATAATAACTACGCTCTCCGACTACAACTCGTTAAAGCCAATTTTGAATAAATGTAAGTGCATAGATTGTTTTCAATTGTCGTAAGTTTGCGTAGAGTGAAATGGTATAAATATTTTATCAAGTTTTCAGTGATATCAAATAACACAACTCTAATTGCCATTTAAAGCCAAACTAAAGTGGTCATTCCGGTGTGAGAAGCAGACATTTAGCGGGGATACGGTACGGCGAGATAATCGTATGTATATGGCTGGGAGGTAGCGCTGGCGAGGCAGCGTCGTGCGAAAAGCGAGGGTCGATTGCGCCTTCCGGTCCGGAGCCGGTTTTAATTTCCCGCGCGAGGCGGCGGCGGCGGCGCGTTAAGTTTAAACGCCCGGAGATGAGCGCACACGTACTAATATCATGCACGGCCCGGGCCGTCGCCATAGCGACGCACACTCAAATGACGTGTGTGGCGCGAGGCGGGTGTGAGGCCGGGGGTAATATGATTTGAGCGCCCCCGGCCACCGCGACACCCCGCCCGCTTGTTTGCTCTCCGATGCAATCGCGATACGAGCCCCCCGACCCCCGGCCCTGTCCGGCGACACATCTCTCACCTCCGTCGTCGATAACCGCATCGGATTCCTTGTTGCAAGCCACCGCATTCTATTGAAATAGATACTCGGCGCCCGCCTATCCACCTACTGCTCTACTCGATTTACACATCACCCCTTGCCGCACAATTTTCAACTTCGCTATATCGTGTCCTTCCGCGAGGGACTTCGTTTCGTTTTGTACATATGCGTCTTTGTGCACCCGAGACGTTGACGCTGCGAGACGAGGAATACGTAAAAAAGCAACTGCATTACCGATGCGAAAGTTTTATCACCTTCTCCTGCAGCTCGCCATTAATATTCCATTCGAAAACGTTTTCAACGGCCTAATGCAGCACACATTTCGTTTAAACTACCGAGAACTCCTCAACTGATACAGGTTTGACGCTTTTAAGTGCGGTTTAAAGAAGCAACCCCGACAACAATGCTCATTCTGGTTATGGTACTAATAAATCAATCATGTAGCGCGGCCGGCAACAGTGTAACGAACGTCATATTCGGCCGGTTTTTGCGGGTGAGTCAATCGCGTGTCAGCGGCGGAATCCCACGAGTTTCCCGCGGCCGGTGACAATTACGCGGTGCGGAGCTCATTAGCTGCGGGCGAGCGGCGCTTCATGTATCATGTATAGCGTGTGCGGACGGGACAATAAAGCAATCACGCGGCGCCGGCGACGCGGCCGCGACGCGCTGCGAGCTGCGGCGACTCCGGCGCGATATCCGCTGCGCCGAGACAGCTCGTTACACCCCGAGAGCGTCATTAGAGTATCGAATGTCGATTTATTACATAACTGATGGATTCATCTGAATATGCCTTGATTGTGACAATACTGACAACACAGACTTCAATATTAAAAAAATACGGTCAAGTTCAAGTCGAGACCGGAGCAATGTAGAGTCCTCAATCAGTTCCCCTTCCAATATCTTAGGAGGGAACTTTTTGCAAGCTTTTTGTTATTAAGGGTACTCGTAATAGTGTAAAATTCTCATTTCACTTGAATAAACATAACCCCCTTCTGGCGCAGGGCGCGCTATAAAGGGCATAAGTCTCCACGTGACTCTACAAAAATGACCAGTTACTGTTACGTAAGAAAATCCTCAAAATCCTACATACACCTAATATCTTAGAAAGACTGAGAAAGAGAAAGAAAACATCAACGCATTATGTCTCTATCCATAGTTGTTTAAGGAGACCATGCTTTAAGACCTGTCGAAATAAAGAAGGTCTTTATCTAAAGACTAATCATAATATCCGGTTTCTTTAGAGTATTTTACGAGTTGTGCCCGATTTTAAATTGTATGAAGAATCGGCCAAATCGAATCGACGTAGTGTGCGCACTCCCATACATGCCCATAATGATCAACTGCCCGACTAAACTATCGGCCGACGAAAAATCAACGGTGTTCGCCTACTCTTAATAAAATTGCAGATGACAGAAGAAAAGAAGACTCGTCTGTCAGAAAATGTTGTTATTCACTTCTGGCAATGGAGAGTTATAGCGCGCAATCTGTCTATCAATAATGATCGATACTCGCGTTATTATTAGTTCCGCTTTGTGGAAGATGAGACTACGAGAAATTCTGAGAACCCGCACCTGAAAGCACGAACTCCTTTGACAAGGTTCAATGCTTTGTATCTTCTACAATTAAGTGCTTTACATTGCATGAAGTCTTTTTTAACTGTCTATATCGCCTCACAATCAAATAAAAAGTATAGGTACTCGCTGTTTAAATTCTAAGCTTTCAATCAAAAGTGTTGGATGAACTTTAGAATTTATCTTGACAGCGTGCAGGAATTCCGATATTTAATGTCAAAATGCCAATATAAAATTATGCATACCGCTTATAATAATAATGTGAATACCTTTGAAAGACTGGGTTGTTTCTTTAAGTCGAGCAATACCCCTTTAAAATTACCTCCAAAATTCCGTTTCTGCTGAGAAATCGTCGTTACGCCTATAAGGTTATCCTAATAGGGTATTGTGACCGTACGAGTGCGCTGTTTGCGGTGCGGTAATTGCGGCGCGGACGCCGGGGGCCGGGAAATGCGCCGCGTGATATATGGTACTACGGCTAATAACAGAGCTCGGGCCTCGCCGCGATTATCCCTTTACCCGGCGAAGACGAATTCGTATCGATCGGCGCGACGCTCGCTCTCGGCTAATGAGAGCGGGATTTACTACTCATTATCCACTTTCGCCGCTGCCCGGGGCGCGATGAAGACGTCGGCGGAGCGGGCGCCGCGGGCGCACAATTTGCCGCGCCGGCCGCCAGCCCGGCCCGGCGCGGCCCCGGGCCCAGCTCGCTTTGTGTTTAATCCCGGGTAATTGCGCCCCGACGCGGTACACCTCCGACCACACGACCAACGGTAGTGGATAATTGCGCTATTGTTGCCCAGCTCCGCCGCGACTGCCTTACAAATAGCTTTCAAAGAAGTTACCCCCCTCAAATTAGAAGGTTCAAACATCGAGTCGACTTTGTTGTTTCGACAATTAAGTTAGATAAGAAAATTAATAGTTGTACTAGCAGCACTCATCGTATGTGAGCTACGGCCGCGATCGCTGCGGTATTGCTAGCTCTGCACTTTACAAAGTTGTTTTTCTTTGGAGAAAGACTTTATAATGACTTGAGTAATATCGTTTTAGATACCGCATCTTCCTGGTGGATCAGGGTTAACACAAATAGCCCTGAAACAGTTTGATTATAAATGTTGCGATCTCTCGTAATATGGGACTGGCTATACTATACCTACCCAAGAAATCGGTCAATTGTATTCCAATAAAAATGTCCTACATTACTTATTAGATTGTAATATTCCAGCTGGTTAGGCCGCGGCTCCATGTTCGTGCTATCCGAGGCGCAGGCTCGCTCGATGCTCCGCGCGGCGCGGCGCGGCGCCGACGGCTCCGGCTCGCTGGTGGACGTCGGCGCCGGCGACGGAGAGGTCAGTCGCCGCTTCGCGCACCTCTACGGGGAGAAGTACGCGACGGAAATCTCGGCCAGCATGCGAAAGACGCTCTTGAGTAAAGGATACACGTGAGTTATTTACTATTAACATATTAGAAAATAAAAATAAAAATAAAATAAAATAAAATTAGCATGTGTCTACAGCTTCGCTCGATATTATTTCGGTTTGTTATTTGTGGCATTCTATAGAAAAGCACCGGAGGAAGAGATTAGGATAAGTGGACCCTTTGAAGCCGGAGAGGCTCGCTCAAGAGAAAGTCATAGCTTGAGATGCAGCTGCAGACGAAAGTCCAAGTAAGGACAATAACTCGCGAATCCCAATGAGCTGGTGGACACCGTCGGGTTTTAGTGGCTTCGCTTTTCTGACGGGGAAAGTCGTAATGGGCAAAGCATTTCTGGCTGTATTTGAGGCGTGTGTAAGTAGTGGAAGTGCTCTGAAAAGGGCCTGCTATCTAACAAAAAATGTGTATTCCACCCTTCGCTCGTGATTGCAGGCTCCTGGACGTGGACGACTGGTGGCGCACGAAGCAGTTCGACTGCGTGTGCATGCTGAACCTGCTGGACCGCTGCAGCCGGCCGCGCTCCATGCTGCGGGACGCGCGCGCCGCGCTCGCGCCCGGCGGGCTGCTGCTGCTGGCGCTCGTGCTGCCCTACAAGCCCTACGTCGAAGGTGAGCGACACTCAGCGCTGCGACCTGCTGCGCACAGCGGCCGCGCTCCATGCTGCGGGACGCGCGGCCTGCTGCTGGCGCTCGTGCTGCCCTACAAGCCCTACGTCGAAGGTGAGCGACACTCAGCGCTGCGACCTGCTGCGCACAGCGGCCGCGCTCCATGCTGCGGGACGCGCGCGCCGCGCTCGCGCCCGGCGGGCTGCTGCTGCTGGCGCTCGTGCTGCCCTACAAGCCCTACGTCGAAGGTGAGCGACACTCAGCGCTGCGACCTGCTGCGCACAGCGGCCGCGCTCCATGCTGCGGGACGCGCGCGCCGCGCTCGCGCCCGGCGGGCTGCTGCTGCTGGCGCTCGTGCTGCCCTACAAGCCCTACGTCGAAGGTGAGCGACACTCAGCGCTGCGACCTGCTGCGCACAGCGGCCGCGCTCCATGCTGCGGGACGCGCGCGCCGCGCTCGCGCCCGGCGGGCTGCTGCTGCTGGCGCTCGTGCTGCCCTACAAGCCCTACGTCGAAGGTGAGCGACACTCAGCGCTGCGACCTGCTGCGCACAGCGGCCGCGCTCCATGCTGCGGGACGCGCGCGCCGCGCTCGCGCCCGGCGGGCTGCTGCTGCTGGCGCTCGTGCTGCCCTACAAGCCCTACGTCGAAGGTGAGCGACACTCAGCGCTGTGACCTGCTGCGCACAGCGGCCGCGCTCCATGCTGCGGGACGCGCCTGCTGCTGCTGGCGCTCGTGCTGCCCTACAAGCCCTACGTCGAAGGTAAAAACTCGAACTCGAAGCAGCTCCAATGGGATTTTAAGCAGAACCTGTTGGATGTTGCAGTTTTCTATTCTAGAAGTACAGGATCTTCGTGGATCGTCGTGCTGCTCTGCTACCATGTACCTACTCTCGTTAATTGATGTCACAAACATTACACATGGAAACAAAGCATGCCCAATCCTGGGTGATTATGGTGCGGGATTTACATCGATAACTAAAGACAATTATCACTTCTTCATACAAACTGTAACACCTGGTAGTTGAATCTTTATTTTGTATATTTTTTTAGATCCCAATCCTATACAAAAAGTGGCTGTATTTGACCACTAGATTCACCTGTTTGGATGAAAAAAAATTAAAATTGATTTGGATAGTAACTAACCACAATTCGATATGTGCTTACAGTGACAGCAGACCACAAGCCCGAAGAGCGACTGGGCGTAACTGGAGCCGGCTTCGAGGAGCAGGCGACGGCTTTAGTCGAACAAATGCGAAGCGCAGGCTGGGCGCTGCGGGCGTGGGCACGCGCGCCCTACCTGTGCGAGGGAGACTTCGCCCAGGCCTACTACTGGCTCGACGACTCCGTCTACGTGTTCCAACCGGCACCCATCGAGCCTGGCAACTGATCCGGCCGCAGGACTAGCAACGAATTCGTAAGAAGAAGAAGAAGTAAGCCCGCTGTTACACCCGTGAAGACACATCTGCCGCCAAATACATTAGAATATTTTGGCGAATTTGCTCGCGCGGCAAACTCAACATTATCTGCTCTTGAGTGAGCAGGATGACCAGCGTGCCGCGCGAGCTAATTCGCCCAGTCTGGACGCACCATGAGATACTCAGAAGTAAGCCCATTTAGACCGTGGCTGTTCGCTCGACTGATAACACCACCGATGAACTCCTCAGAAGTAAGATTCACTATCCCGTGGCTACTGCCTTGATGACACACGTCTACGAACAAGCCGGTACACTCCGCAAAAGTCAGAAGTAAGCCCGCTGTTACACCCGTGAAGACACCCACGCCATCTAACAGGGTGTCATTCTCCTCAGAAAAAAGCCCGTTCTTACTGACGAAATAACTGATGAAATAGGACATCTAGCTCGCGGCTATGTTCCTAATGAATGGCACACTGCCCCTTACTAAGCGTCAAGCTCCTCAGAGATAGGCCATTTAGACCGCGCCTAAACTCATTGATTCAAATCGCCTGACACTAATCATTGAATACTTCAACGAACAAGCTGTAGAACTTCTCAAAAATAGCCCGCTGTTACACCCGTGAAGACACATTCGCCGCCAAATACTCTGAACTTCGTGGCTCCATTTAGACCGTGGCTGCTCGCTCGCCTGATGACACCCATCACCGAAGAACTCCTCAGAAGTAAGACTCACTATCCCGTGGCTACTACCTTGATGACTCACACGTCTACGAACAAGCAGTTACACTCCGCAAAAGTCAGAAGTAAGCCCGCTGTTACACCCGTGAAGACACATCTGCCGCCAAATATTCTGAGATACTCAGAAGTAAGCCCATTTAGACCGTGGCTGCTCGCTCGACTGATGACACCCACCACCGATGAAATCCTCAGAAGTAAGACTCACTATCCTGTGGCTACTACCTTGATGACTCACACGTCGACGAACAAGCCGTTACACTCCGCAAAAGTCAGAAGCCCGCTGTAACTCCCCTTATGACACCCACGCCACCGAACAGGGTGTCAAGCTCCTCAGAAAAAGCCCGTTGTTACTCCCTTGAAGACACGCCACCGAAAAAACTGTCGAAATAGGACATCTAGCTCGCGGCTATGTTCCTAATGAATGGCACACTGCCGCTTACTAAGCGTCAAGCTCCTCAGAGATAGGCCATTTAGACCGCGGCTAAACTCCTCATTGATTCACGTCGCCGGACACTAAGGCCCAGAACAGACGGGAAACGCAACTGAAACGAAACTGCAACTTTGTGATGATTCTGATGAATGAAACTGAAACTGAAAGTTTCAAACTGGTCGCGTCATGTGTGGTCTCTCAACGGACGCTATGGCAGAAACTTAGATGCAACTCAAAAGTAACTAGCAGTTGCAGTTTCGTTGCAGTTGCGTTTCACCGTCTGTCCTGGGCCTAATCGTTGAATTACTGAGAAGTGAGACTTACTATCCCGCGGCTACTATCTTAATAACTCACACTTCAACGAACAAGCTGTAGAACTCCTCAAACATAGCCCGCTGTTACACCCGTGAAGACACATCTGCCGCCAAATACTGTGGGCTCCTCAGAAGTAAGCCAATTTCGACTGATGACACACCCACCACCGATAAACTCTTCAGAAGTAAGACTCACTATCCTGCGGCTACTGCCTTGATGAATCACACGTCGACGAACAAGCCGTTGAGCTCCATAGAAGTAAGCCCGATGCTACTCCCCTAATGACACCCACGCTATTGAACAGGATGTCAAGCTCCTCAGAAGTAACCCTATGTAGCCTATGGCTGCTCGACTCATTACGCACGTCACCAAACGAGCCCAGAAGTAAGTACGGCTAATCGCCTAACGACTTACACCGAAGAAACTGATGTTCTCCTCAGAAGTAAGCCCACCTGGCCTGCGACTATTCCACTGATGATACACGCATCACTATACAAGCCATTGAACTCTTCAGAAGTAAGCCTGCTACTACTCCCCTGATGACACAAACGCTACGAAACGAGCTGTCGAACTCCTGAGAAGTAAACCTATCTATCCCACGGCTACTCCTACTCATACCGATTTAGAGATGGTCAGTCGCATGCCTGAATTATCAGGGTAAATAAGTACTTAATACTCATACGCTATTAACGAAATATTATCATCTCCCGTGAACCAACCGTAAGTTATAGGAAAATTAGTGACTAAACCTACCAGGCTATACAATACAAATATTACATTATTTTAAAACAGACTGCTATTGTATAATTAGGGATGTGTTTACAGAGCGTTGGTAAAGAACGAACATATTATGTATTACATTGATTGTTATCGGAACCAATTAATTCTTTTGGTGTTTTAAAAAAACTAAGTTATTTATCGTTATGTTTTTCATCCACAAAAACAATACTACTGACTACCTCGTGAATTTTGTACTCATCGAGATAACTTGTGATGGAAATATGATAATGCAAAATCGATACAAATAAGACTCATTGAATATGATGACGGTAAGCGCACACGTACTGACATCGAATTCGTATTTTAATAACGATTTATCGCATTGTTGTGTCGCACTGTAAATAGCACCACTGAATTATTGTTCAACGTTTACTAGTGTTTGCTACGAATTTACTATTATATTTCATATAAGACAAAATGTTACAAGGAAAATAAGTTAACTCCAGTTTTTCTGGTACCAATCTCATATTATACAGTAAATAAATAATTACTCAACCTTTTCTTATTAGAACAAAATAGTAAAGAGTTTGCATGTTAAATTAGTATGTTATGAACTGAGTTTGCAGTTTTTGTGCATAAATGTATTAAGGGATTTCATGGACTGGATTTATCTCCGATTTATCATTCCAATTATTTTGAATGTGATTCAATAAATCTTAAGTAATCTTAGCTACGTGTTGTGTGTTAGTCATTTATATGAGATCTTACATTTTAAATATTGAAATTTAGATAAAGGTGCTTTTCGTTAATATATTTCATATTTTAAGCATATAAAATGTCATTTAATGTAAATTTTCATATTATTTATATGTAAAATGAAATAAAGATTTTAAAAATGCCTTTTGTAGCAATTTTATTTCTCACCTAATCATGGGACACTAGATAAGTTTTATTACTTTGATATGGTTTCAAGAAAAGACATATTTTTAATCATATCATTTATTTCTAAGCACTTCGATCACTAAAACTCCACTTTTATATGATAAAGATAATAAAATATTATAAGTCGGCAAATAAATTACATGGCAAGGCCAAACATCATTCCATAACTTAACGTACTGGGAGATTTATTTTCTCAGCAATTTGGAAGTCACTACACATCAGTGTAAATTGTCATCACTCTAGAAATAATGTGTTTTGCTTTAAACAAAATTATTAAAATAAACATATCACAGGAGACAGGGGCCAAAATGTTTGATAACATTAATTTTAATTTAATTCCAGCAAAATAGTATAGGAAACTGGATTAAAGACGATTACGTAAGTAGATAACATATAAAGTAATGTCAAATCCAAAAACTAAGATAAAATAAGGAAATAAAGTGTATTGATTTACTTTATTGGATTCTGATAAAACACTTTATAAATAATTTTGAATATTTCTCTCAAACATGATAATCATGATATTCTAGCTTTAATGAAAAAAAAAATGAATATTACGATGTTAAGTCAATTTATGAGATCATTTTGTCAATAAATAAATAGATAATACGAATCAAGCTTGAAAATATGTAAAAAAATGCTTGAAATACTTCACACTCGCTAAACCTAAAAAAATCTATGACCACCTACTGTTCAAAATGAATTTCCATCAAATCCAAGGCAATAAAAAGTTAATAGAGTGATGCTAAGGTATGTTAGTTACGCCAGATATCAATGATTCTCATGTTAACATGTTATCCAATAAAAATGTTGAAAAAATGAAATCGTTTTTGACTAGAAAGCTTAAACTAATACAGAGAGAGAGATTCTTTTGGAATTTTATAATACTTCTTCGAGAGTGTTTGACGGTTACACATATCAATCAACCTTACACTACTGCGCGCATCGTTCGACTTGTTAGTTGTAGTTGAAAACGTAATAGCCTCGTTACATATTTGGATATACAGATATTATACCACAAAATAGGTACTCCTACGAAATAACAATGTCCTTAATTACGTCCAATAAATAAATCAAATACAAGGCAAACGTATTTTTGACAATGCACGAAACGTTGAAAGCTGCACTTAGTTTACAAAAGTCGTACAATAAAAAGTTAGATTAACACAACAAACCATCAAATAAACAGAGACCACGACAAAAATACTTATAAGATACATTACAACCTTTCACGCCTCTCTAACGCGATGATAATCAATTTTATTTATAATTTAGAATTATAGTACTAAGATACAAAATTTTATTTTTAAAGTAGGCTTTGCCTTATTATTGCACTAACAAACTTATGAAGATAGTTCATTATTTCACATTCGTGATGTTTTGGAAGTAGCAAGTCGTGTTTTATGTGTACATTTATCATGTTAGTTTCATTGACCTTTTTAGCTTTACGTTGAAGGCAAACAATAACATTTTAATTTTTGTATTGCCTTGGAAGAATGTAAAGGTATTCTGAAACTCTCTTTTTTATGTTTACGTCGAATGAAACTAACACGGTTCATCAAATATCTTGCGAACTACTTAACTGATCAAAGGAACTAACCTCTGACCATCCTCACACTGCATGTTGCGACAATATTCATACTCCTACGCCAACACAACCATTGCCAACGTGTAAACTCACAATTTAAATGCAATTTCGTATTTATAATGTGTGCGATAGACACCTATTCAATACACAAGTACAACTACGTTTTATATGTCAAATATTACTCAACATGCAGTGCCTTCCCCCTATAACTTACCGAACCTAATTAAATACATTCACAGGCAACATTAGCTAAGACAACGTGAAAAATTGCAGTCTTCAATGAGATACTATCCATCCTACCACTCGCAGACAAGACATGGCGATCCACAACAAACGCGCACACAATGATTATGGCCAGAAACCAGGGACCAGAGGGTTACTTAAGGTGTTTTCGGATTCTCTTTACATACACACCACATCAATAAAAACATATATAAACCATTAATAGCTCATTCTAAACATGGCGACACTGGTGGATCGCCCTTTAGTTTTAATAAATCAATTCTTAATTTAGCATCTGACACGCGTAACCCGTAACAACTGTTCACCGCCATAATTTTACGTAACAGTTGTCAATTCAAGAGGTCCCTGCCAGAAACTTAGCGGCCATGTCTTACACGCACTCACATCAGAGTATGCCAACATTATCATAAAAATACTCTTTTATTTCCAATGATTCAGTGATGTCAGGGGCTTAGTACGTAACCCAAGTTCACTACACAATAATATTACTCCAATATGTTACATTCGTGTCAAGACTTCGCTCAGGCCTACACCTATTACACCTCTATCACAGTGTAAATAATGCACTTACGACAATAAACTGAGATTAAACATATCGTAACTAGGACGAACCGTAATCGTACGTAATAATAACCAAGAAATATCTTATCCTATAAGATCCATAACATCAAAAGCGATAAAATAGCATACTGGTCTCGTATGAAATATAACAGAAAAATAAGATAAAATATCGTATACCTAAAGAAAGAATAAAAGCAAAAATGTAAAAGATAACAAACACCAACAAGTAAAGCGAGTATACCCGAAAATGTAAACGAAAATATACACTGGACTCCCAATTTGTGCTTCAGACAGAAGTAACCCGAACAACGTTACAAGATACACACAGGATTTAATATTAGACGTCTATACCTTACGTCGTTACATTAAGGATTATAATTAAGCCCTCGCCTGGAGGAGTGGCGACTCCGCACTAGCCGGGACCGCCGCGCCGGTCTCCGCTTGACCGCCTAGTTTTATTTTTAAATTTTCGTACAAGTCATGGCTTTCAAGAGATACCAGTTCTTACCAGAATACTTCAAAGGTATCCAAGGATAGGATAAAATCCTACACATGCAGCTTGTTTTATGCAATCCAGCGCGAATGGTACCGTAGAAATAACAAAATAAATGTATTCAATGTCGATTCTAGTGTGAAAAATGTTTAACGAAATTTTTTACGATACATTCGCGCTGTGGAATGAAACATAGTTTTGGTTGGTGTTGAATGCCCTATAGACGTAGCGAAGAAATGTAACGGTGCTCTTGCGCGGGCATTTTTTGACGAGAATCTGAATCTAGTATTGTTTTTAATTTTATCCGCATTGCCATGACGTAATAGTAATCAAAATTGCCCGCTAAAGACTCCCCGCAGACTACAGACTTTTAGTCGGCCGATAGTTGGGCCCGATATGAAGAATCGCCCGATACTAATGTGAATAGAACAGAATAGAATAGTTTTTTATTTGAAAGAAAGTGTGCGCACTTCCATACATGTCCATACTGATTAACAGCCCTACCTAACTATCGGGTGATAAAAAGTCTGCGGTCCTATGGTGCGTCCACACTGGGCGCACGGGCTCGCGCGGCACGCTGGTCATCCTGCTCATCCTGCTCTTGAGTGAGCAGGATGTCGAGTGTGCCGCGCGAACCCGTGCGCCCAGTGTGGACCAGGGGCGTTATGGATATTCGTAACCGTAACCGATTCAAAAGTTTCAAAAGGCATAACAGCCTGATTTAGCTTTATGATGCCATCTAGTATGAATTTTTATTTTTTTATTACTTTTTGGACACAATGAACACTGAACCGTGTTGGACAACTATTGCAAATTGCATTCTAAAGCACAGATAACCGTAACCGAAACTTTCGGATATCCGAAATAAAAAAATATCCGTAACCGTAACCGAAACCGGTATAATATTAATCCTATATCCGTAACCGTATCCACAACCGAAACTACATATCCATAACATCCCTAGTGTGGACGCACCACTAGGCTAACGCAGTGTTTTTCAACCTGTGGGTCGCGACCCCCTAGGGGGTCTATCCCTAGAAATCTAATTATGAAAATGCGTAAATGTTGTATGGATTGAAGTATTCGGTTCCTACTAGAGATGAAACGGATAGTTGTTTGGCCGGATACCGGATACCGGATATCCGGCCAGCTGCTAGGCCGGATAGCCGGATATCCGGCGGCCGGATAGTTGGCCAATTGTCTCGTTGCATATCGTGACGAGTTTAGCGCCGCACAGGTGCTTCGAACGCGATCAGTGGGTCTATTAGTAGACTAGGCCAGTAAAATTAGATTTTAAATCGAAAATAATTCCTACAAAAGATTTTATTGCTTTAATACCTTCATTGGTTGGCTATTAAGACTCTCCTAGGTTTTCGACTTCGACGGAGTTGTGCTTAAGGCCGGGTAACAGAGAAAATGGCGAAAATGAGGTTTTCATTTTTCATTTTTGAGGTACTAAACAGTAAAATAAAAGGCTAAGATTTTTTTTGGGCATAGTTGAGGATATTTTCTAGGGCTATTAACGGATGGAAACACGATTTGATGAAGTTGACTCGATAGAATAAATTCCCAAAGTTACCTCTATTCGTTTTCTAATTATGGTTTTATTTTTAAAATAAGCGATTTGAGATTGTGAATCTTTTACTAAA